CCCCAAAACCCCAAAACCCCAAAACCCCAAAACCCCAAAACCCCTATTTTATAAAAAATGGAATAATCTATTTTTACCCAGATGGTATCATCTCTTAACAGTCCTGTTGAGCAAAAGAGTATTGTGCCTCGTATTGTTGGCTACTACTTATCTTGAAATTCCAATGTGTTCTTTTATTTCCCTCACCATATCTTGGTATTCCTCCTCGCCAACAATATTAGATTTCAAAGTTTCGTTGAATAAGAGGTCAAGATCTTCCTCCTTAACCAATCTTTGTGATATTATTACATCGATCAGTTTGGACCTAAGCTCTGCTACTATTTCATCAGGAGAAGTTGCATTTGCAATGGGGATATTGAGCTTGGGAAACTTCTCTTCCTCATACTGATTCTTAGCTTCAAGTCCTAAAGATAATCAGCATTCCAGAATGTAGGTAGAATACCTTTTACTTCTTCATTAATGGGTTTTGCTGAATAGGTTTTTCTATAAAGCTTAGTTCTAGGAGAGTACCTATGCTTTGTCTTTCTCTTTTTTGGTCTGAGTCTTCTCTCTATATCGGTTAAATATGATAATACTACTTTTGGCAGAGGCTGATCTGCTTCTCTTTCTATAGAAAAGATAATTTCTCTATAAAATAACACAGAAAATGAAACTTTAAAGACTAACTTACCTTTTCTTTTTGCTAGAGCCAACTTCTTTTTCAGCATATTCATAATGGATACTTCGAGATTTACCTGTCTTTGGTCTTCTCTGAGGAGTCTCTTGGGGTATTTGATTTATGCCTATGACTTCAGCATCATCTTGGTAATAAAAGTTAGGATAACTTCCTTCCATCATTGGCTTGCTAGTGTGCGGTCTCTGGACCTAGAGCTTATTAGAAGGCCAATTTTTGGAACTGGGAAAGGCAAGAACTTACACTTGAAATGTCTGGTCGAGAATGAGGCTCATAATCAGTATAACTACCTCCATAAGCTATATTTCTGACATTATAGAAGTAATCATTCTCAATCATGGCCTTATTAAACTCATGGATCGCTTTGTTAACTTTATAACTCTCTTTAACTTTGCGTGCAAATCCTTCTAGATTAGTAGCCTTGTCTTCCTTTCCTAGCCTCCTAAAGAAGAGACTAGGGTGTGAGATAGGGTCAAATGGGTTCTTCTTCCTCTGGCCAGGCTAGAGAGTATGAGGAGTAATCCTTACAGATCCTATAGCGCCAAGTCTCTTCTCAAGACTTGATAAATTCTTATAATGTTGGTCTAATTCATAACTAAATTTGTTCTTAGGCTTTAAGATGGTATTCAAAAACTTCATGGTCTTTGGCTTATTTGTATCAGTCCCACTCTTAGCATAATAAGCTCTCCTGAATGTCTCTCTGACTTCAGAGAATTCTGGGCTGTTCATGTACTTATCTACATATTATATGAAAATGTTTTCTGAAATTTAACTGAACTTTTCAGAATTTTCCAAATTATGGTAAAAAGTTGCCTTTAGATTGTTATAAAGGCAATTTCAGCTTCAGAATGTTTTGAAGCATGTCTACGATCATGGGAAGTATACACTAACTCATAGATTACCTTGATATTGACTGGCAAACTGAAACTTAGAGGATTTGCTCTTCCTCACACTCTTGGTATGATCAACATGTTTCTTCGGCTTAATCCTCGTGTTTATCGATGATTTAATTTTGGTAAGATTCGTGTGATGGTTTTGGATGCGCTCAATTATCTGGTCCCGACCTCCAATGTTCCTATGATCAGCTGTGAACACCATTCTTTTTATTTAATTTTATTTGTTAAACTTCATTCTAACTTTCTAGTAAAGGGGTTTTGGGGTTTTGGGGTTTTGGGG